GCAAGTACTGAGCTATACGCTATCCAAAGGAGAAAAAACTTGATAATTATGAAGAAGTTTCAGAGTAAAGTTTTAAAGTGGGTATATTTCTTCTAAATATATCAAAAAACTAGCAAAAGGACCTCCTGCCATCTCACGGTAGGTTAAGAAAAAAGGCCAGGTTTGGAACTGGCCTCATAAAAGATATAAATTTAGAACATCAGAGCTGGTGAGGATCTCAGACATCATCACTGCCACCTTATCCCAGGCCCAGAACTGAAACGTCACCAGAGATGGAATCAGAACTCAGCTTCTCACATGAAGAACAGGCCTGCGAGTTGAACACACCATTCTCTTCTGAAAGCTTCAACCACAAATGTTACTCTTACTACTGAAAGGTCTTCTCTTAAAGTTGCAAAAAACAAGTCAGTGGGGGTGGAAAGTGACTTTCCAAATTCAACCCAAACTGTGCCAGTCCGGGTAATGGAGGAATTGGTGATAGGCTGTGTCACGACAGTCACATGGTGGTTTTTCTGATGTAATGGGCCTGGTGTGAGCATAGTAGAAGGAACACCTGAAGACTAATGATGGGTCCTTGTCTGACCCTTAAAAATAGCGAATGCAGTCAAAAGACTGCCTCTATGCACGTGCCCTGCAGAAAGTATAGATGCTACTTTGCCTAGGTTATTGACATAGACGATCCTACTTTTACTATCTTTCATTCCTATCACCACCAACTCTGGGCACGGCCGCCCATCCAGTGGCCCCTGCGCTGCTCTAGGTAAGCTTGTTGGGCCAGCACCTGAACCCTGGGGCTAACCCCCCAACACTATCCCACATGGTAGCTCTGGCTGTGAAGAAAGAGAAAAGCTGAATTACTCAGTGAAGAGCAGCATAAAAAAGGCGATGTTTTAAATTGGCCTTGTCTGAAATACAAACATTCCTGATATTCCTGTTTACTTTCGGTGACCGAGGCTAATTAAATAGAGGAAAGTGACAAGTTGGACAAGTTGAGACACTAGAAAAAAAAAATCCCTGGGATTTAGTAAGCGATTAAAAATAATTATGTGGTACCTATTCCAGGAGTCAGTCAATGCCTCACACACAAGGGGCGGTGGGGTCAGAGCTCTCAATCCGGATGTGGGTCAGACTTGCTGGGGCACAAGTTACACTCTCATGTCTGGGCCCCGAGGTTCTGATGTAACGGTAGGTGGTATAAACCACAAACACAAACAATACTGGATGAGCACAAGGATTTCCTGAATCCTTACTGCATTTTAATGTGCTTGGTCCCTGTTCAGTTTGTAACTAAGCTGCTGTAGACAAGGGAGAGGGGTGGCCGGAGCAAGACGACAGTAAAGCACCCGCCTGCCCATCTAGAAGACTGTGCCTATGGCAATCTTCCGAGACTGGCCTTTCCACAAAATGGAGGGCATTTTTCAATGGAATAATGCTCACCGGAGTCGAGTTTCAGACACAAAAATAACTTCCTGAAAAACAAACTGTACCATTACATTTCTTGTTCATTTAAAATAAATTATATTTTTACCCTCTCCCCACATCACCCAGGGATATACAGCATGAAAAAAGAAAACTTGTGCTCATAAATTCCACATATTCTCATTGTCTCAAAATTCTAGCTGAGCTGCAAAACCACCAGGGAACCTGGGTGGGGCGCCCCTCGAGTACTGAGGGCTTCCTGGCTGATCTGAATTTATACTCATAGTCACAGTGCAATTCTTAAAATATCTTATTCACAATCAAAGAAATAAACATTTGACCTTAATAGGCATGTTTTTACATTTGCAATTTATAAAAATTTAAGTTGTTTGGCCTGGGATGTCTTAAGAAAATACTGAGGCGATAAGGCTGAGAAAATTCTGGAACTAGAGATAAGTAAATGTGCTGCTTCCTCCTGCCTGGAAGGTCAGAGTGGTATGAATCAAACACATTTAAGAAACTATCTTTAGAGATTAACAGCAAGTGACTAAAGACAAATATATAATGACAGTTTCCTAATGTATGTGAGTTTATTTTATTTCAAAGAATAGTTCATTGATTTTTAGAGAGAGAAGACAGGAGAAGAGAGAAATATCGATATGAGTGTATAATATTGATCAGCTGCCCCCTGCACACTCCCTACCGGGGATTGAGTCTGCAACTCGGGCAGCTGCTCTGACCAGGAATCGAACCAGCAACGCTTTGATGCACAGGGCTACGCCCAATCAACGGAGCCACCCCGGCCAGGGCTGTACGTAAGTTTTGAGGTATGTGAAAGGCAAGACCGCTTGTTCGTCTGACACAGGAGACGCATGGGGTGATGGACATCAGTTCTGAGAGAAGGGCCATGTTTAACTCCTCAGTGCGGCGTTCTCACACGCAGCACAGCTCTCAAAGCGAAAGGGGCTCAAAATGAGACGCTGAGCAAGCGGACACATGAGTCACACGCAAATCTATGACGTCGTAATGGCGTGCGCTCCTTTTTACATGAGAGCAGGAAGAAGGGCTGTGGGCTGAGCAGGGGCAGATCAAGGTCTCCTGCGTCCCCCATGGCAGTGGCCTCTTGCTCCGAGCGTCTGCGTCTTTTGGACTTTACTCCTAGATCCTTGCCCCTTGATTTGATGAAGCCTCTCCTAGACGGGCACCCAGGGACAGGAGGCTCTGGCAGAGGTGTCAAAGAGCCCCAAGGAGGATTTCTCTCCCCACAGATCTACTTCCTACATCCTTATACTGCAGGGGAACAGATAGTCTTCCGTTTCCTTACATTATAGGAAAAATAATGGTGGAAAGAAGGAAAGAATGGATAAGGTCTGAGTCCCTACCTACTAACTCAATGCTAGCCCACAACGGTTGTATTCAATGAAGAAACACCTTCCTGGAAAGATAGAGCGTCAGTGGGTTTGTGAGGGGCAGAGTAACTTCTAGAATATCACAGAATATCAGAGAAAAAGGGCTCAGGGAACAAAATGTCACCTGAACTTAAAACAAGCAAAAAACCCAACCTCCATGAGAAGTTTTCAGGACAAACTCAAGTGTGATAAATACACAGTTCTTTCCTCTTTGCTGGCCTGCAACTGCGAACCCCAGGAAGTAAAGAACACGCCATGGGAAAGGCACATATAAAAAGAAATCTTCCAGAACAAGTGTTCTTGGTAGCATGCTAAGTTCACCAGGGCTCCTCTGTAGAACTGATTAGCTTTAGGAAAAAAAAGTTGGACTTTATTTTCAATTCAAAGTCAAGGATTTGAATGTATTACGCAACGCTAGAAACACTCTGGCAGTGGGCTGGTGGGCAGCTCTGCACAGATCTGTACTTGACCTCATGTACTAAACTCACAGACAGCTTCGCCAGAAATGAAAGCAGACACCTCGGCTTTTGGCCAAACTCTGAAAATTTTGTCTTTTTCTTTGGATCCCTGAAGAAATAACAGCTGAATTCTTCTAGTTTCTTACTGAGGTGACGATGAGGTCCTACGTAGGCCCCGAGGGATCTGGAACACGATTGGGCCCATCACTAAGGAGGCGAGCTCATCAGTACCTGTTTCCTACGAGGCTCTATTTAGCTCCAGGCCATAACTGACCCTCCGTGGCCTGAGGATGGACTCCAGGCCCACTGTGATGAGTGGAAAGAGGGCACAGATGGCAAATGGAGGGAGCAACTGGAGTGTTCCAAAATTAACAGAATAGGATTTGAACATGGCAGACTATAGTGTTCTTAACTCTTAGGAAAGGAAAACAAATGGCATCACCCCCAAATTTAGAGAAATCGGCCATTTGCCAATACTGCAAGAAAATGAAGACTGTGACATAATATGGTTCAAAGTACATAAATTCTACGCATTCTGCTCTATTTTAGCAGCTAGAGACCGACGTTTCTTAAAAAGGGCTTGAAGTCTCAAGTTAGCTTTTCACTAAGATGAAACATTAAGCCAGCATGGTCCAACAGAAATACAGTGCAAGTTCATACAGAGTTTAAAATTTTCTAGTAGCCATAGTTTAAAAGTAAAAAGAAACAGGTAAAATTAATTTTAATAACACATTGTATTTAACCCACTCTATGAAGATATATTATCATTTCAACAAGTAATGGATATCAAATAATTACACATTCTTTTCTCAGACTAGGTTTTGAAACCCAGCGTGCATGTTATGCTTGTGGATCATCTCAATCCAGAACACCTCAATGGCCACACTTGCTGGACATTCAGGAGAAACAGACTCATGCCCTCCCTGGAAGCTCAGTTTTAATCCACCTGGACTGGACCCACATGGAAAAGTAGTCCTGTTAGTTACCTTTACCTAAAGGAGTCACCGCAGGTGCACCTGAAACTAATACAAAATAATAGTGAATGCCAACTACAATTGAAAAAATAAAGGAGTCACCGAAGAATGTGAAATGCTGTTTTATTCAAATGCCCTGTTACTTCGGTTTAAAAGTGCTCCTTTCCAAGCCCTGTCTCTCCTCACAGTCGTAGCTGCAGAGCCCTAGCACTGAGCCCTGCCTCACTCTCGAGCCTCTCGTGGGGTCTAGCTCCACACCCTCTCCATGCAGGGAGCCTGGGGATTTGGGGATGTCCTGAGACACTTTGCAAAGCTATAAAAATGGCACGGTTACACTCAGGGCCTGCGTGCTTGACTTTCTGGGATTCACACGAACAAAATAAAGAACCCACAGCATGAAAACCTGATAAGGAGATGCTGTTTTCAACATTGCCTGGACAAGAACAGTGCCTTCCCTGTGTTCTCCTTGTATAAGTGACAATGGCCCAGAAAGAATAACCCCTTCTCCTTCTCCAAACTGGTATCTTATTACACCGTCGTGGGAAATGAGGTAATCTTTCATTATTTCTAAGCAACAGGAGAAATCCTCATTTCCACTTCAGCTCCTAATGGATTAAAGTGGCCCAGAGGGCCTGAAGCACGAGACAAGAAGTCATACCTATGACACGGTAGCAGAGAAGCGGGGACAGAAGGACCAGTCATTCCCACGGGCACCTGCCGTCCAGCCCGTGGATTCCTACCTTTGTGGTTGAAGATGCCCTCCATTTCCATGCTGCTCCTTGAGTGGGCGATGCACAGAGAGCCGCAGGGGACCAGGCCTTCTGCCGCAGGGGACCGGTCGGTGGTCCGCACCAGACACCAGTCGGGCTTGTCATGGGGCCGCTCCAACACCTCCACGGTCTGGCCGCGGCGGATGGTCAGCTCGGTGCTGTTGCAGGCCGTGAAGTCGTGGATCACAACTGTCAGCTCGCAGCCTCCAGAGAGCTGGGGAGGGAGAGGGAGCACGTCAGTGAGCCCGGGACACTGGGGTTTCCGTGCGGCTGTGAAGTGGGCCAGGGACTCGACTTTCCGCTCCACGGTTGGGTCAATGACAGCAAGAAGCACCTGAGGGACAGCTCTCCAGTTTCCCTGCCCCTTAATTCTCCCTTGGAATCACACAACAGTTATTTACTTTGTCACCTTCTAATGTGTGATTATGGTTTTCAGAGGGTTTCACTGTAAGAATCTGATATGATTTTTCATGAGCATCCAAATCTTCTTGTGCCTGAGACAGTATTAGCCTCAGTAAGTGCTATATACTCATTTTTTAACTTTGGGAAAACTAATAAACATTGTGGTTGAAGGCCATTGGGGGATTATTGTGAAATGTGGTGATAAAATGGGAAGAGCTTGTTCCCAATTTGGTGTCTGAATGCTCGGCACTGCTGTCAGCCTGCAGGCTCTCCTACACATGGCAGGGAGACAAAAGGCGACAGGGCTCAAGATCCCACACGCAGGGCAGGGCAGGGCAGGGCAGGGCAGGGCAGGGCAGGGCAGGGCAGGGCAGGGCAGGGCAAACCTTTCTCTCTTCAAAACTCTTCAGGATACTCCTTAGTGACATTCACGACCCTCTGCCATCTGTCCCCAAACCTTTCCCAGGTTCTCTTCCCACTTCATGCTTCCACGTGCTCCATGGACACTGGCTTACTTCCCAAACACCACGTTACTTTCTGGTCTGAAATTCCTTTCCCTTCTCTCACCTGAGCTCACTCTCATTTTTATACCAAAACTCCATTCTAAGGCCCTCTGAAGCACAACACAAATGCCATAAAGACACATGCCACTGTGATCTCACACGGGAAGCAGGTGCATGGCCTTTCCATGATCCTCTCCCTCTTAGACTGTATGCTCCCTGGGGACAGCTCATATATACGTTGAGTATTGTCTCTCTTACCATGACCAGCTCCCATCTTAGACTGCATGCTCCCTGGGGACAGCTCATATATACGTTAAGTATTGTCTCTCTTACCATGACCAGCTCCCATCTTTGGACTGTCACCTCTGGTCCTTCAATCCAGGCAGCCCCAGGAGGTCCATGCCTGTCTGTTCACTATTCCCCTGCATGGGTTCCTGAACCATCTCTCTATGCTGATTACTCCCAAGCAGCTACCCCCACCTGCTGTTTCCCCCTCCCTCCAAAACACTAAGTCTAGGATGTTATCCCCCTACCTTGGCCCCAATCTGTTTCTCTCCAGTGTTCCCCTTTGGGAAATGGTCTCACCATCAGTCACTCAAGCTAAGAAATCTCACGCTCTTTCCCTCATCCAGACTCTAGGATGTCTTTCTGGCTGCCTCCTTTCTCTGCACCACACCAATCACTCATGGATTTCTGCAGTGGCCTCCTGAGTGGCCCCGATGGGCTCCAGGCTCACCTACCAGGCCACCTCAGCACCACTGCCAGTTCCGCTTTAAAATGCAGAACCCTCCATTCAAACACGCCGTCCTCTTGTTCAGGAACCTCATACACACATTCCTTGGCCCAGGATTCAGGTTCCCGCACCGGGGCCCGGCCCACCCTGACAGCATGCCAGCTGCCTCTCCTCATGCCCTTCCCAGCCCAGTGACCGTGTCCTCCCTCTGAGGAGGGTCCCGCGTGCCTTGCGTTCACTGCATCCACGCCACCCATTCTGCTTCGAGCTCCCCATCAATCTCTCTGAGACACCACTCCTGTATCTACCATCCTTAGAATTTTTTTAATGAGAAAATTATGTCTCAATTCTGAAATGAGCCATGTCTTGGGTAACATGTCGTGTCTGCCCTAGTACCAGAAGGCAGATTTGTCCATGGGGGCAGAGACTGGGCCTGTCATAGCCACCACTGAGCCCCCAGTGCCAACCAACAATGGCAGGCACAGGACTTGTGCAAGGAAGTTGTTGGGTGGCGTCTCCTAAAGCCCGCCTCTCACAGTGCTCTGTATCCAGCAAGCAAACATTTGTTGAAGTGAAGAAGGCAAAACAGATTTGCTCAAAAAAAAAAAGCTCTGCATTTGACAAACCAAAACGAAACATGGGTTTTTTCCTCTGTGACTTCAAGAGCTATGTCTGCTTGTGTTTAACTGAGACATACCCAGTCTTCCTGATGGACATCAGCACAGAGAAGGCAAAGGACAGAAGAGTAGATGGCTGGGCTGAAGCGAGTAGGAGGAAAGGAATGGTGGGGCCACCTAATGGGGGACATCCTTGCTCCAGGAGGCCACCCAGCACCAGTCCCCTCGCAGAGAACTGGGACTTGAGCCTCCTGCTCAGGCTCACGGCCTGCAGGGTGCCTGGGCCGCCTAACCACGCCTAAGACTGCGCCTGCCAGCCCCCTGTCCTGCCCCATGCAACACATTAGCCTCCTGGTCTAACAGCCTGTGTCTCAGAGAAAGTTTATAATTTAGAATAAGAAACACATGTCCATTGGACAACCACAGAAACCGAAACAAAACAAACTCTTCCATAATAAAGCACAGATATCGACAAAACGAATCGTCTTTGCTAGGCCACAAAGGGGATTTTTCACAAGTGTTTAGTCCCCTTCTGCATTTTACAAATTGGTCTGTGAGAAAACCATGAAAACCTTACACATATCTGTGAACAACCAAGGAAGCTAATGTAGGAGGGTGAAAGGCAGAGAGGGGCCCAGTTTGGGGAAGCGTTTTCCTCGTAAAACCCCACGTGATGGAAATGGTTAATCCCTGTAACGAAAAGTAGGAATGTTCCCTGTTCCAGGGAAAGCGTGAGCAGTGAGCAAGTCCAGCGTGGGGTCCAGCTTGCCGAGGCCCCGCAGGACCTGCACCTCCTATGGGCCCTGTCCCGCCTGCCTGGAGTTCCTCAGCACAAGCCCTGACACTTGTCCACCCTGAGCCCTGGGAAATACCACTTGCAGACACATCACCAGTCCTCGGCTGGTTTCACTCTCAAGTCTTATTAATTTTTCGGACTGCTCAAAGCCACATGGTGCATTCTGTGGGTGGGGGAAGGGTGGGAAGGGAGAAGGGGGCTGCCCAAGGAGAATTAAGCTAAACCTTATTTCTGGCACTGGTTTTTTTAGCCCCTTACAGAGTAATCAAAAACTATTGGAAACATCTGTGTACTTGACAGAGCATGAGAAATGAAAGTCAAGCCCGTTCTGACGAAGAATTGCAGAGTTAAAATTCCTCTTCAAAGGCTTTAGAGAACTTATGAACAAAACTGAGTACCAGAAGATTGTTTTTAAACAGTGCTAAAATTATCATTTAAAAAAATATATATCTTCTTGGCTTTACCCCTAAGAATCAATTGACTTTTCCCACAAGAGTCTCCTGCATGCATCTTAAGGGAAGGTTAAATGCATGTTTTCTATTTCAGAGAAAAGACATCTGTGGATCTCTGTCTCAATGTTCACATTTGAACATTTTAAACTTATTATAAAACCTCTCTTTAAAACCAGGTTTGCAAATTTGAAAAAAAACACCACCTTTTTTGTATAAAAGACTTAAAATAACTCTTTTGAGGAAGCAATGAAAATCATTACTACATTTAAGAGGAATTGAATTCCCGTTAGGAAAACGGTCAGATAATACACTCTACATCATTAAGTTTGGCTGAGGTCTCACTGCTTTCAATAGCATTTCTACCCTCAGTGACCCAACTTCATTACTATGTTGAATTACAATTCCATTTATCTAGTTTAAAATTCACTTTTCCTTTCCAACCATGCCTTGTCAACGTTTTCAGAGTATCTTCTTTACTTCTGTATATTTTATAGACTTCTACCATGGGCTCCAGGCCACATACATGCATTTAGAAAATCTCAATTTCCACGACTCACATTAACGCCTGTGACATTCACACCAGAAGACAAATTTTGGGGGGAAAAACTTTCTGCTTTTCACCTTAAAAAAAAATGTGGTGACTAAAAAACATGATAGTAAAATGGCCTTAATCAGACCATGGACCACAGACAGCACCAACGCCTCCTCTTCACCACCCACCCATGTCCCTTTAAATGGGCTGCCAAGGGGAACGCCCATGACTCAGATGCACAGACTACTCGCAGAATCAAACTAGGATCCTTTTGCCTGAATTCTCCCCAGAACTGACTGAAAATGAACAAACCCAACAGAATGAAATACTCCTCCCTGGTGGCAGGCACGTGAGCAGTAACTAGAACAGACCCTGGGACGGGGTTTCTCACCCCATCGTGCCTTGGAGCACCCCTCCCTGGCACACTACAAGGAGGCGGCTTGACGTGATGAGGGCAAATCCTTCTTGGAGACACTGGCAGACACCTGGCTGTAACGGCCAAGCTCCCAGGACCTTTGGGGCAGGTCCTGGAGAGGGCTCTTTACGACGGGCCTGGCGATGACGCAGTCCGCTCCGCAAGTGATTCTACTTCAAGAGCCCAAGATCGATTGCAGGTGGGTGTCTGGATAATTTTCTGAGAGCAATTCAAAAGAAGAGGAGGAATGTGGTCTAATAAAAGCCATTTTCCCCTAAAGAACAAAGTGTATCAACTCCTGTGAACAGTCACATCCGGCAGCCCGACAGTCCAGTCATTCAGAGACCTCACAAAGGGCCTTGCGATTTTGTGGGTTTCACAGAGAAGACCGAAGGCTGATCACTTGGTCAAGGGGACTGGGGAGACAGCAATGATTACAAGGGAAAGGCAACAGTGGGGAGCGAGAACACCACTCCAAGGAAATGAGTCACCCCCACGGTCTCGCCCGCCCGAGCTCCGGCTGGGCAACTTCACGGAGGCTCGGGCTTAAAGCAGCCGCAGCAGGCCCCGTGCTCACCCAAGGCCAAGTTCACAGACGTGTTCACCAAATGTGTCACTGTGTTTCCAACAGGACGATTCTGATCATCTCTCACACACTGGAGGTACATAAAGAAATCTGTGAGAACTGAAAAAGGTGATATATATGTTTTTTACCACCAAAAAAAAAAATTAAAAATCTGTGAGAAAATCATTTTCAAAAGCAA